TTCTGTAATGGTCTTTCTCTCTGTTGCAAGGCTTCCTTGAGGAGGGGTGAGACCTATGCTTATCTGCAAGTATAAGTACCAGAAGGTGCAATGGCAGTTTCAAAGGGAGGGGGGCCACCAGTACTACTTACTGCACAGCCATGATGGCCATGGACACAACAACAGCTGGCATGGCACTACAGCCATGAGGGTGCAATGGGAGCTGGATACGGTTGGCAGTAACCAACCTCTCTCTGGGGAAAGCATGCCTGGTACTGGAAACCTCGCCAACTACCAGGGCTAGTGAAGTCGTGGATCTTGGAGGAGAACCTACAACTACCACTTTACAAAGCCAGCATTATTCCTAGCTGCCTGCTTTGAAAAACAAAGATATTAGCTGCACGTTGCCTGTCAATGTCCTACATTATCTCTGTGATCTTTCCTTTGACGTTATACATATTATTGACATTTATGTTCTGTTCTGCAGTATTAACGAGATCTTCCTCTCTTTGTCTTTCCAGGGTAGCTCTTAAACATAAAAACCAATAAACAGTATTTACATTGTCTTGACTATGTAAATATTTTTTCCAAAATCCAGTTAAGTAGTGAGCCAAGAATACACTTCCTCCTTTGCAAGTCCAATGTCATAAGCCTTGGGCCTCTTAAAGGAGATTTTTTTCTAGCATTAAGGCCTGTCTTATACTCCATTAGTTGATTATAACCATATTTTATTTTGTTTTATATTTGAACCACTGCTTTCTTGCATATATGTAGACTTTGTAACAGGTTTTATTCTTCCATAAATGATATGCCTTTATTATGTCAACTCATTGAACAAATACTTATTGAGTGTCTGCTAGGTTCTGGATGCTGTTCTGGGAGCTGAAGACATAACAGTGGAGAAGACGGATAGCAATGCCTGTTCCTCATGGAGCTGATTCTAGTAAGGGGAGGAGAAGAAACAATCGGCTCAAGAAATGAGATCTGTAACAACTTAATAAAGTGGTGCACTCCTTAATCCCAGCGTTCAGAAGCCTAGGGAAGGGAGATCTGGAGTTTGAGACCAGTCTGAGTTACATAGTGAAGCTCTGTCACATAGAGACAAGGTGCAAGGGGACAGAGAGGAACTTAAAAAAAAAAAAAAAAAAAAAAACCAAAAAAAAAAAAAAACCAACAGGGTAAAAGAGAGAGAATAGCAGCGAAGAAAGGAGGTTATTTCAGTTTTAAATAGGTTGCTCAAGAAGTAACTCAATGAAATGGCAGGATGTGAACAAATGCTTGCATGAGGTGAGAGAGCTAAGTGGACATCTGGTAATAGATTTTCCAAGCAGAAAGGATGGTGCAAAAACCTACCCATGGCGTCTTTTCCCATCCTTGGCATTTGGGAAGAACATGAAGAACTCTAGGGTTGCTAGAGTAGTGGAAGAAGAAGAGAGAGAAGTAATGGGCTGTGTGATGAGAATAGTATTGAGGGCTTGCCACACTAGCTCGTCTCACATAAGGCTCTGTAAGTGAGCCTTGGTGGTTTCCACCATTTTAACAGAGAGAAGAAAGAAGGTGGATTGGGTTTTAAAGGGACCTGGAAACATGCTGATGGAGGACAGAAGGAAGGATGATAACGTGGAAGAGAACTGGTGTGCAATCTGTTGCAGTGACTGAGATGGAGTCACAGGCTTCTGGGTTCACTCTTCTGGCACCTACTCTAGAGATCTTTCTTTAGCTGTAGGAAATTAACTTCTAATACATTTTTATTTTGGTTTATGGATACAGTTTCTCACTATGTAGCTCTGGCTAGGTTGACACTCACTATGTAGACCAGACTGGTCTCTGAGTTGCAGCAATCCTCCTGCCCCAGCCTTGCCAGTGCTGGGATGACAGGTATGCACCATCATGCCCAGTTCCTGATTCATTTTTTAAAAACTTTTGTTTAAAATTTTTTCCATCCCTTTTCCTCCTACTGGGTTGCCTTGTCCAGCCATAATATGAGGGAAGATGCCTAGTCTTACTGCAACTTGATATGCCATGTTTGGTTAATATCCATGGGAGGCCGGCCCTTTCCTGAACAGAAACAGAGGAGGAGTGGATGGGGTGGGGGCAGAAAGGAGGGGGAGGGACTGGGAGGAGAGAAGGGAGGGGAAACAGCGGTCAGGATATAAAAATAATAATTTAAAAAACTTTTTTCCATATAATATATTTTGATCACATTCTTTCCCTTCCCCAAGCTCCTCCCAGATCCTCCCCACTCTGCTACCCACCCAATTTCATGTTCTCTCTCTCTCTCTCTCTCTCTCTCTCTCTCTCTCTCTCTCTCTCTCTCTCTCTGTTTCTCTCCCTCCCTCCCTCCCTCCCTTATAAAACCTAGGGGAAACATTTCTTTTTAAAACTAATTCTAAAAAAGGAAAAATCAATATGACAAATATACCAAAACAAAACCAAAAAACACACAAAATATTTCATTATTTTTCTTTGAGTCTGTAACTCGTTTCTCTAAATGGGTCTGCTGTGTTGATCTGTATCTTTGACATTTTTTCATATTTCCTGTTTGTTTTGTTGTTTCACCTTACATTCCAAGAGATTTCCTCTATGTTATTTTCCAATCTTTCTGTTGACCCTTTTATTTCCAGCAACTTCTTTTCCATTTCTGAGGTGTCTTTCTGTTCTCCGATTGTTCTTGTTTGGTAGCATCTAATTCTTGTTTCACGCATGCATGTTTGTTTGAGTGATTGACATGTATAATTTTTCTCCTGAAGTTCTCTTTTGTTACTCAAATTCCCAACCTGCTCTGGGTTCATTTGTTCCATTTGTTTTGGCTTCTTGCTTTCATGGTACAGGCTTTCTTTGCCTGGGAACCCCTGGTTATCTGTTTGTCTTTACGAGAGAGAGTGGGCACCTGATGGAGTTTTCTCTGTCGGTATATAAACAAAGCTTTTCTCAAGCTAGGACTGTCCCCTATGAGGAAATTCTTTTTTTTCACTCTTCATTTTTTAAAGACATGGGCTCACATATTCTAGACTGTCCTTAAACTCCCTATGTGGCTGAGGATGACCTTGAGCTTCTGATCCTCCAGCCTCTACCTCCTGAGTGCTGAGATTACAGACAAGCTGCACCCCATCCCATTTACACAGTACTGAAGACTCAGCCCAGCACTTCATAAGCGTCGGCAAGCCTTCTGACATCCCTAGTGTCTGCACCTCCACTGAAGAGACAGCAATGGGAAGCTTTGAGTGTCCTTAGGGCAGGTGGCAACTAGTAAGATTCGGAACCCCCAAAGGCTAGAATGAGACTTTGTTGTGTAGTGCTTAATGCCTAGGGCAAATCCTTTGCCATCTTTGTGCCAATTTATCAAAAGTCCTCCGAGAGTTTTTCCCTTGTTGCTAGATGCTGGAAGTCTTGTGAATGCAATCTGTGTTCATATAAGTGCGATAAAGGTTCTGATTCGTGCTAATGGCCCCTGTGCGGGCACATTCCTCAATCCATCTTCCACAGGACCTTCAGACACTAGGCTCAGAGCATCCCAACTGTTCATCTTTCTGCCCCTTTCATGTCTCCAGTGTGATGGGGGCTCCCCATGCTCTTTTGTTGGTGTTTTCGAGGCAGGATTTCACTGTGTACTCCAACCTGGCATGGAACTCACCATGCAGCACAGGCTGGCATCAAATTCATAGTTCTCCTGCACCAGTCTCCCAGATGCTGGGATTATAAATGTGTAGTACTATGCCTGGTCGCCATACTTTGATTTTTGCCTCTTTAGCACTTTGTTTCTTCCTTTTCTCGTGTGGTCTTCATTTACCATGGTCTCCTATTCCTTGTTCTCCCTCTCTGTTCTTGATCCAGCTGAGATCTCCCACTCTCTTTCCCTCGACCCTCGCCCTTCATTGCTCCCACTCATGTCCAGGCTGTTCATGTAGATCTCAGCCATTTCTCCATCATTGGGTGATCCTCGTGTCTTTCTTGGGGTCCTGTTTTCCAGGTAGCCTCACTGGTGATGTGAGTAGCAGTCCAGTCATCCTTGTTCCACATCTAGTATCCTCCTATGAGTGAGTACATACCATATTTGTCTTTCTGAGTCTGGGTTACCTCACTCAGGATGATTTTTTCTAGATCCATCCATTTGCCTGCAAACCTCATGATGTCATTGTTTTTCTCTGCTGAGTAGTATTCCATTGTGTATATGTGCCACATTTTCTTTATCCATTCTTCAGTTGAAAGGCATCTAGGTTGTTTCCAGGTTTTGGCTATTACAAACAATGCTGATATGAACATATACCTCATCCCAGTATGCATTTACTGAATACCTACCAGAGGTCAAGCATTCCAAAAGTACAGGCCCAATGTTGATAACTAAATGCTATTGTTATCCCCATTTCACAGATGAGGGAACTGAGGCAGCAGAGTGGTAAGTGTCCTCACTGAATATCATGCAGCCAGTGAGCAGTGAACTGCAGTTCCAATCCAGATGTTCTCGGTCCTGAGCCTATACTTTAAATGACTGAATTATGCTCTTTCTCATCTCAACTGCAGCCCATCTTAACCTCTGGGTATTCTTGAGACTAGAAACCTCAGGTCTGTGGAATCTCTACACTGCTAGAGTCCCTCCTCCTGTGTCAAGACTAAAGTGAGCAACGGAAAAGACCGATGCTGGGGACTTGCCTCTCCAAGCCTCTTTAAAGGCTGCTACCTTTTTAAGATGATCAGTGCTCAGTGACCTTTCTCTGGCTCCAGTTATTGAGCGCCAGTGGATGTTTATAGGAAAGAAAAACCCCACCCTGAGCCAACATAGCAAACAGACAGACCCAGCACTCTGGTATGTTTAGTTTCCATTCATCTTACAGCTGGATGAAGGGGAAAAGGAGGCACAGAACTGGCCCTTCTCCAGGCACGATGCCAGCCTCAGCTCTTGGACAATCCTGGTTTGTGTAGGCCTCAATGCCACATTCAGAGACTTCCCCACCCTTTAGCATGGTCCCTCCCTCTCAAGAGAAGGGATACCTGGAAGTTTAAAAGAGGGAGGCCTTGGAGACCAGGGCCAGACATTGTGGATGAGAACAGCAGGCCCGGGCCAGAAGTGGCACCATGTCTGCATGGAGGTGCCTCAGCTGTGTCAGAGTTTTCCTGACCATCCTCCTAGACCTAACACACCAGGGACCCCATGGCTCTGCCTCGTCCAACAGCAAGGTCAGTTCTAGCATGAGAAGACAATGCTCTGGAAGCTGAGAGAAATAGCGCCTTGGGGCGGGAGGAACAGAGGTTTCTTGGTCTGCTTCTGCAGGGCCGAGAAGCTAGGGCCAGAGAAAAGAGTTGCTGATTGCTAAGTGCCAGTCAGGTGGTGTGCCAGTAGCCTTGGTTATGGTTTCAGTTAGTCCTCCCAGCGCCCCTGTAAGCCACACTCTCTTGTTATTCCCATTAGAGAGAGGGGAAACACAGGCTCAGAGGTTAAGACAGGAAGCAGCAGAGCCAGAGCTTGAACCTACACCCAACTGATTCCAGATTGCCTCTTTGTCCCACTTCCCCACACTAAGAACAGACGAGATGTACGTGATGTGTGGGTGGAGGGAGGGGTCATAACTTCAGGGAAGACAGGGAAGAAGATAGTTATCTCACTACTGCGTGACCTCAGTGTCTGAGCCTCAGTCAACGTATCTGTCAGATGTGGAAAATACTAGAACTTAACTCCTCAGACTGTGAGGATTAAATAGGATCATGAGTGCTGAACACTTATCATGATTGCAGTATTTTACTGTACTTATCAAGCTCAATCTTTATAGCTGCAATCATAAAAACCTAAATATTTATCCCACTGCCTTGTAATAATGTAGGGCCCGGTGACTCCATCTTTTCTGTTCCATTCGAAAGCTTTTGCTAAAATGTTATGTTCATTCTAAAGTGAAATCTGTGGATCACCAGCAGCAGCGGTGGCAGCTTCAGGGAATTTGGGAGCAAGGAAGACATTAATCACCCTCTCCCTGCCCCAGGGTTGCTAAATTAGAACCCATGTTTAGTGAGATCTGAGTTCAGTAAAATCAGAGACGTGCTTGTCCAGAAGCGCTTTGATTTGGAGTCATCTGGGAAGCTTTACTTTGAGATTCACTTGCTGCACTCTCAGGCACATCCAGGTATAACAGAGGTCACTTTCTCGAGGTGCCTCAGTTTCTCCTCCTCCAGTTCAGGAACCTTGAGCTCCCACGTACCAGCCCATCTTGGCCAATAAAGGACTCTCTCTAAGTCACCTCACTTGTATTCTCTTCCAGTTATTGATGACGAGCTATTCCGTACATTCCACTGTGGTGTCTCGTTATGCACACACTTTGGTCACCTCTATCCTCTGCAATCCCCATGATGAGGCCCATGAAGCCACCTTTGACCTGGATCTACCTCGAGTCGCCTTTATCTCCAATTTCACGATGTAAGTCTGCTTCCAAACTCATGGCTTCATTCATTTGTGCATGCATTCATTCAGTCTGTTTGCTCTTTCACAAGTGCAGAGCAGTTAAGAGGACAGATTGGAAAATCAGACTCCTTGATTTTGAATCCTGCCTCTGCCAGCTGTGGGACTCAGGACATGCTACCTAACTTTTGAGTCTTATTTTACACACCTGTAAAATGCAGATAAAATTAGAAAGCACTTGCAAGGATTAACATGTGAAAATCTATGCTAACATCAGTGTCTGGTGTATGATAAATACTTGAAAAAGTTAGCTTTTTCAAAAAAAAACTCCTTTTCCTGATACCGAAGGCATGACTTACATGGTTCTGGTTAGCTGCTCTCAGTCTACTGTCTAGTGGGGAACACAAAAAAGGAATCAGGTAATTGAAATAAATAATGGAGGAGGAAAAAGAAATCTGAATGCAAAATGGTGGAAACCCCGAGGCCCAGCAGGAGACAGTGATCAATTCTGAATTCCCGTCAGTGGAAGAAACCCTTAGATAATGACACTTAGAGCAGACCTTAAATTATGAGATGCTCACTAGCCAAGCACTATGGAAGCAAGCCTGGAAACTCAAGGCCAAGGAATTAAGACACAAGTGTTCCCTCATGAGGAGAGAGTGCATGTACTTCTATGTCACTGAAGTCTGGACGATAGGCAGAGTGTAGAAGTGTGATCAGAAACGAGAACTGAGAGGTAGGAAAAGACTAGGCTCTTAGGGGCTTCTAGTGTGAACGCAAGTTCATGGAGCACACACATATTAAATATACTAAAGGACAAATATGTATTATGAGGAGTATACATCTAAGCCATCAAAGAATAATGGGAATCTCTATAAATAGAGCACTAATCATCTTCCATTCCCTTTTCTTTGTCCCCAGCATCCCCAGGGACCTGTACACCCCATTGTAGAGATAGTGGGGCCCCTTAGCAAAGAGACATGGCAATGTGGTAAGCGAGCAGTGACAATAGCGAGGCAGGGCTGAGCTGGGAGAGCCAGCTAAGAAGCTGGGAGGCTGGGAAGTGCCCTGTGCTAGAGCATGGAAGGAGAACATGACGGTGGTATTGGAGAGACCACTGGAGAGAGGAAGAACCTGCTCATGGGGGGAATCTGAATGGTGATTGCCCCTTTTCTGTTTTGTTTGTTAGATGGTAGGCCATGGATGAGATGAAGAATGAGGGGAGTCGATGAAAGGAAAGCTTAGTGGGGTTGCATTAGCCCACATATATCACAGTGAGAGTTATGAAAAGGCTTCTGGAGTTGGAGATGTAGCTAGGTCAGATGTTTTCCTAGTATGCCCAAAACCTTGGATCCAGTTCCCATCACCAGATAAAACTGCCATGGTGGCACACGCCTGTCATACAAGCACTGGGGAGGTGGAAGCAGGAAGCTCAGAAGTTCATGATGATCATCCTCAGCTACATGAGACCCTGCTTTAAAAGGACAAAAGGAAAGGTGTGTGGCGTTTACCCACCACCCCCACAGCTTCCCAGAGTTTTCTTGAGTGCGAGCAGCAGGAAATATTAGATAGAAGGATTTACAGCAAAGAATCTTGTGGAGATAAACAGATAGAAAATAAAGGATAGCCTCGAGAGGGCCTGGAACCTATTCCAATGGGCCCCGACTGTCTCTGGCCCAGGGTTTTTATAGAGACACCAAGGGGTGGAGCAAAAGACCTCCTCCCCCAGCAAAGCCAAGTGCAGACCATTTCAGACACCTGCACTCAGGCCCGTGGTCCTGATCATCCTCTATTCAGACCTGCTGGGTAAAGCCACGAGGAACCCCAGAACGGGCTCCCACAGAAAGGGGACTTCTGTCTTGGAGTGGAGACATTCTCTGAGTTAGTGGATTAGGGAGTCCTAGCCAAACAGACTTTCTGTCCTTGCTTGGTCACTCCCACCCCATGACTGCAGAGAAGGCTCTTGTGCTATAAACAATCTTACAGCCCTAAGCCCATGTCCTGCCATCGAGAACCTCCAGGCTGCACGTTGGAGAATGGCTAGCTTGGAAGAGGTGCTTGGTGAGAAGTCTGTATAGGGAAGAAGAACTGAGATAATGAGAGGGAACTTCCCTGGAACAGGATTTCTAAGTGGGTAAGACTTGAAGCAAGCAAGATCATTGCAAGTAGAGGACCAAATGAACCAAATATGAGAATAAAATCAGTCCCCCAGACAAACCAACCAACCCCAGGCATGCTATGAAGTGGGGGGCCAACCTGAGAGGTTGGCAGTCCGTTGATGTAAAGACCAAGCAGTAGGCAGAATGGGGGTTCATTTCAATAGGGGGGAAAAAACACCGAAAGGATTTTTTAAAATTTTAGCAAAGCAGGCCGGAGAAATGTTCCTGGGCAGACTCTGTGGAAAGTATGCTGGCTGGAGGCAGCTCACACACAGAGGCCCCAGTGTGCTACTGCCAGAGTCGCCCCACCCTACCACCCCAGCCCCCAGGAGACCTTGAGGCCCAGCCAGCTCTGTCCACCCCCACACTAGCCCAGCCTCAGCAATCCTGTTTCAGCTGCCTTGAAACACTCCTTGTCTAAGTAGTCTCCTCTGCCAGCTGCATATCTTCCCTTCGCATTCCTGGAAGCTGCTACTATCTGTGCCCTAGTTACTCCGTTTGTGAAATGGAGACAGCTGTTCTTACCTCCCACGGAGGTATATTCATGTCCTCTAGGACACCAAATTCTCACAGCTCAAAGGTAGCTTTGACCCCATCCATTTCTTCCCAGTTTGAGATTTATCCAACACTTCACATTCCTTGCTGCAACATGAGCTCATGGAGTCTTGAGTTCAAAGTCCTGGATTCTCTAGCCTTCTTTCTATAGCTCCCTTCTCTTTGATCCACTATTCCATGAAATGCACACTGGCTTTTCTTACTGTCATCCTGGGACACTCATGAGATGATGGAGTGAGTACTGCATGCCAGGCATTAGCAGCAAACCTGGCAGACATGCCTTTGCCCTCAAGGAGCTCATAGTCGCCTAGAGAAGATATGACATGGAAAACTTAAACTAATATGCATCAGTTTGTCTATGAGAAAGACTACAAAAAAGAGAGTAGCAAATAGAGCAAAGGAGACAGAGACTGGGTAGAGGTATCAGCTTAGAGTGATCAAAGACCAGGTGACATTAAGCAGAGACCTGAAGACAGAAGTGTGAAGACTTACAATGATCTGGAAGAGGAATGGTCTAGGCAAATAGAAAAATAACTACAAAGCACTCTGGGACAGGAGTGCTGGACAAGTTCAGGGGAAAAAAAGGTCAAGGAACACTATACACAACAGCTAAAAATACAGACAACCCAAGGGTCTAATTGATTAATTAGATACCTAAATGCACCATACTAAAAAGGGAATGAAGTCCTGTTACTTGGTTTTTTATTTTTTTATTTTTTGTTGTTGTTGCTTTGGTTTGGGTTTTTTTTTTCTGAGACAGGGTTTCTTTGTGTAGTTTTGATGCCTGTCCTGGATCTTGCTCTGTAGACCAGGCTGGCCTTAACTCACAGAGATCCTCCTGGCTCTGCTTCCTGAGTGCTGGGATTAAAGGTGTGAGCCACTACCACCCGGCAAAGTCCTGTTACTTGTGATAACAAAAATGGGCTAGACATGGTAGTCCATGCCTCTAATCCCAGCATAGAAAAGGTTGTGGCTAGACTATTGGGAGCTCAAAGCAGCTTAGACCACATACAAAAACCCTGTTTCCAAACAGTTGTTTTTTTGGTTGGTTTGGGTTTGTCTTTTGTTTGTTTATTTGTTTTTAATCTGGTTTTGAGTTGGGTGTAGTTGCTCATGCCTATAATACCAGCATTTGGGATACTGAGGCAACAGGATTGGGAGTCCAAGACCAGCCTAAGGCAGAACAAAACTCTATTTCAAAAACAACAGCAAAACACCCCCCCCTCAAATTTTGGTTAGAAAGATGACTTGGCACCTAAGACCGCTGTCTGCACTTCCAGAAGTCCTGGGTCCAATTGCCAGCACCCACAAGACAGATCACAACAACCTGTAACTCTAGTTCCAGGGGATTCAACATCCTCCCTTGTCTCTGCAGGTACCAATCATGTACATAGTGTACGGTCATATATGCAGGCAAAACATCCATGCACATAAAATAAAATGATACATGTAATTCTTTTCAAACTCTCAAACCTTGCCAAGTGGATGGAATGGTCATTATGCTAAGTGAAGGATGTCAGGCCTTGAAAGGCAAGTGACCCATGATATCCTCACATGTGGAATCTAGATGGTTAAGCTCATAGAATTTGAGGGTGCAATGATGAGTTCTCAAGGCTGGTAGGAGGAAGGGGTCAGGAGAGGTGGGGAAATCTGATCACGATGAGACAGGGACAACAAGCTCCAAGGCACTGTTGTCAGCACAGGTGACAATTGTGCACCGTACTTCAAAGGGTAAAAGAAGGATTTGGAAAGTTTGACCACAGGTGATAAATGTTTGAGGATATACGTGGTTATTCTGATTTAAACATTACACAAGGCATACATGTATCATACAGGTATCAAACATTAAATACTCGTTAGTACATACAACTTTTATGAGGGTTTTTAACATGCATGTGTATGTATATATATGCAATTTGCATATGTTATGGAGTCCAGAGGTTAATTTTAGGTGTCTCTCAGGCACCATCTACCTGTTTTGTGAGATAAGCTCTCTCACTGGCTTGGAACCCGCCAGTAAGCTAGGCTGGCTGGCCAGTGAACCCCAAGAATCCACTTCTCTCTATCTCCCCAATGCTGATAGTCCAAAAATGTCCCCACTATACATGCCCTGTCTTTTTTTAGCATCGGTTTTAGGGATTAAACTCGGGTCTTGTACTTACAAGGTAAGCATTTTATTGGTTAAGCTATCTCCCAGCCACCACCTTATATACTTTTAAGTTAAAAATAATTTTAATTTTTAAAATTATTGAGAGACAGAGGCAAGAATATCAAGTTCAAGGCTTTTGAGTTGCAGAGTAAGCCCTGTTCAAACAAAACAAAAACCAAGAAAAGTGAAGGAGAAAAAAGGCTACATGGTTGAGTTCAAGGCTAGCTTAAGCTACAGAGTGAAACATTGTCTCAAAAAGTTAATGATATCGTTTAGTCACATAGAATTTACCCAGCATGTGCACGAACCTAAGTTCCACTCCCAGCTTTGCCAAAAGAGAGAGGGGAGGGGGAGGAGAAGAGGAAAGATGGAGAGAGGAAGAGAAGGAGAAGGAATGAGAGGGAAGAAGGAAAGAAAGAAAGAAAGAAAGAAAGAAAGAAAGGAAGGAAGGAAGGAAGGAAGGAAGGAAGGAAGGAAGGAAGGAAGGAAGGA